CGGTATTCTGTGTATTCAGACAACCTGCCACTAACTACACAATGTCAACCCCATTTACAACACCTGTGACAACCCGTAAAAGGGTAGCTTATATACAAACATGACATAATTAGAGCGTTAACTACGCTATGTAGAAAATAATCTGAATAATAGTTCTATTATTTTTCCCGCATAGGCATTTTGCAATGTGTTGTGGGTAGAGCCTACTTGCCATGCGCAGAAAACCCGGAAGATTAAAAGGAACGGAGAGTGTTTATTGTTGCAGACGATCAATGCTCAGCGAAGCTACCGCACTGTGAATTCAACTTTCTCCTTCCATGATGGTGAACTACTGGGAAGTCGTAGTTTTCCTCCTACCAGTGTGCCTAGCCCTACCGGAAGATATTGATCCACGTAAGTGTACTGTCCCATTACACCAATTTATCGGTAATCTTTTCCCAACGAAGGCCAAGGCAGGGGACGTCGATGTCCAAGTTCCCTGCTCTAAACGCTGACGTGTACCTATTTTATTTGCTTTCTGTCTTTTAATATTTTTCTCGGGAAGGAGTTGGTCGCTGAAAACATGTTTTCTCATTTTAAAGTCCACTTGCATCATATTGTCGTAATGTAAATAAACAGGGGCATACCATATTGGTTTGTGGGTGAGGGTATTATATTTTCTTGGGTGGGGCAATAAACCGGATCAAGTGTGAGGTAGTGGCACTGGTAATGCTATATCTATTATAACATTTTTATTTTACTACAAGGCCACTGGATGCTTTAATTTATCGAATGAACACTATATTTGAGGGCAGTTTTTGATGTATGATAATTTACAGCTATATTTGTGTGTGATAAGTTCTGAATGGTTAAACGTTGAACAACTGAAAATTTAGTATTTTAAAGGCTAAGATTTTAAGAACAGGAATTAAAAATAGTGCATTGTACAAATAAATTTGATGTAAATATCTGGCTGAACTGAACATATTGTGTGGTGAGGCAACCTATGTAATAGTCATTGATGTACCAGTGTGCCAAATTTCCCCCAGACTGAATTTATCAAATGTCGGTTAATTTAATTATTTCCCACTGTTATGCATTATGTATCTCACTATGTGGTACTGTAAAATACTTTATTTCAGCTGGAATTAATTTTCGCTGAAAAGACAATTTGGGTGTTTTGTATGGAATTTATTTTCACTAATTTTTGACAACTTGAATGTAAAATATAGGAAAAAAGGTATATTCGCTGGATTTTATGTTCACCTACTCATTCCTTCAGCGAAAATTAATTACAAGTGAAAATAAAGTATTGTACAGTACTAAGTACAGTAGTCATAAAACTAGATTTTACCATAATAAATATGAATTTAACATAATGTCCTTTTTTTTTTCACAGACATGTATTGTACAGGATGTGTGGCTACCATGAAAGGTAGGCAACCGTAGACTATTGCAGTTTATACTCACAATGTATTCATCGATTAATTATAGAAATTACCAAAATATTGTTTTTCATACATACATACATTTTTCCTGCAAACTTATGGGTTCTTATAATTATATACAACTAAAAAATTACAGAAGTCGTTCTGTGTTGTGTTCAATTATGGGACTCATATCAACGTATACAATACATGTAAAATGCATTGTTTATTTGCACAAAATTCAAATATGGGTTGCTCAACGGTGCTTTAATGACCAAATAACGAGACCCATACAAGTCATACTAATTGGCGAAAAGAGCAGTCACCAACTATCGTTTTTTTGAATATGACTATGTTCTCATATGAATGCATTAGATAAATTAAAAATAGAAGCCAAAAAACATGTGCCAACAGAGGAATCCATTCAAGCGGCACTATTTTAGTAGTAAATGATGAATAATAATACCAGAACATCAATTTCATAAATTATATCATTATTAGACACTGGTCTTTTCTGTACATGTCACAGCATGCTAAGATGTAATCCACCATAGTAATTATATTGATTTGAACTCATTACATTTGGAGGAATTAACCCTTTAAACTACAACCTATATATTTTTTTCAAATTTATTTTGATCAAATTATCTTTGGTAAATTTATTATAAATTATAAAATACTGGTTTTTGATCATATTTATTATAAATTATAAAATACTGGTTTTTGATCCCCAAATAAAAAACAATTTTTTTTAGAAAAGTAGAATTTTATGTGCCGCTGAAAATTAAAAATTTTTTCTTAGATTCTTGTTATGCAAATTTTCATTAGGAATAAAGCATATTAATAAAGCTAACTATAATTTTTTACTGACCAGTACTTTTATAGATGTTAAACTGTTGATAATATTTAATGCAGATAGTTATATAATGTGATGCCTGCTATCAATACGATATAATGAACATTAATGAAATGATATGTAATCATACAGTAATTCATAAAATATTAGTAATTGTATGATTTTGAAAAAAAACACATTACTATTATCATCTGAATATGCACAACGATTCACAATTGTCAGTAATGATTTCGTTCTCAAATTTCAACATCAATATTCAGTTTTAACACACAAAAGAAAACATGTTTCTAAACACAATGTTTGATGTGTGTGTCATCTGTTAATATTCTAGTGTATGTAAAATAAACAGCTGGCGGTTCTATATAAAATTCAGACCAACCATAGTATTACACCTCATCATTTAGAGAGTGAATGAGTATAGTATATATACTTATCATATAATAGCAGATAAGAGAAGGATTAATTTAAATCGCTTTGTTTCCAAACAGACTCCTATTAAACTGAGTAGAAATATTTATTGTAAACCAAAATCCCTAAACTCTGCAATGATCAGTAGTTGTTCAACATGCTACTGCAGTACTGAAATAAAAATTCAGTGATATGAAATATTTATTGATTTCATTTTTTTCAATACATTTAAAACTGAAGTTCCAATTGTATTTCCATCATTTTATACATTGAGCATTGAGTTTCTACTGAATTCATTTTCCCAAATCAATGTTTTGCACGTTTTTTGTTATTATTTTTTTAGTAAAATTGTTTATTAAATTTAATGTTACCAAATTCTGCCAAAAACCTAAAAAAGCTGATGTGCCCAAATTTAACTATATGGCCAAAAAAAAAATTGTTTTGTTGCCCTTAGCCACCGACAGAAAAATATGAAATATCGGGTCGCGTTTTTATTTTTTTATTTTTTTTTATTTTTTAATAGGCCCAAATATTAAAAACTCAAAATTTTAAGCAATAAAAAAGTGTTTCCACTAAAAATTATCGATCCCGGACCATTGTTTGATCCCCAGGGTCCCCGGGGGGATAAGTAGCAACTTTGAACCTTGGATTGATCAGTATTTCTCTGACATGTTCCGAATACTATGAAGTCTGAAAAGCAAACACGCCTTTTTCATTTCTTATCATTTTGACATTTGCGATTCGTCAGATAGTTGGTGCACAATATTAAAAGTATCGCCGCACCAAGTATTTTCTTAATTAAATAAAAAACATTTTGAATCAAGAACAATACGTTTGTTATAGTAAATATAATTTTTAATACATGAAATGCACAAAATTTTATTGAATTTACAAAACAGGACATTTTATATTAAAACTCTCATCCGCTTACATCACAAACAAAACAATGGCTTTTGCACGTTGTTTTAGCATTGTCAGTATTCCCACTTCTGGGTTTGTCATCGTGTGTATGTACATGTGTACAGCGGAGCGAACATGGCGAACACGTTTGCTGTGTACGTGACAGCAAAAGCTAGATCAACTATTCAATTTTAAATTAAGTTTAAAAAAAAGTCTGACTGACCAACCCAATTTTTCGACTTGAGGGCAAAGTAAGTTTTCTTTTCAGCAATATTTTCAGGGAAAACTGGCTATAGAAATAAGGTTAATAACTTGTATGATGTAATTGTCGTCATTATTTTTTAGTTCTTGATTATATATTTAGTGTTTGAAAAAAAGAATATATTTTTTTATTTTGTTTAATTGTAATTAATATAATTTAAAATACCCAAATATTACTAGACTTTGTAACTATAGCAGTGGAATTAGACAGGAATTTATTACATTAAAAATAGCATTTTTCGAATCGATACCTGAAAATATCAACTCATACCATAGTTTCAATGACAAAGACTAGGCAATGTTAATAACTACATGATTTTTATTTCATGTTTGTCTAAACCAATTCAAATTATACTTAATTTAAATAACTATGAAATTCAATAATCTATTTGCTATGTAGTGTTATGAATAATATGCTTATTGATCCTATGGTAAGGTTTTGCACATTTTGTGATAATAATTAATATAAATTCATACATGTGGAATTGTCCTATTGGTAGTTGGGATATATTGCCCA